TTTATTAGCAGGGAAGGGAAGTGGGTAGTTGGGGAATTCCAACTCAAAAATTGTGAAAGTCATGTAACAAACTTAGGCTTCTTCATACATATACTTTCATATTTTGCAGGGAATTTTTAGAAACTGGAAGTATTTTTAAATGTTATTGATCTACCATTGATTTAAAAGAATCATTGACTCATTCATTCATTCATTCATTCAGATAGTGATTATTTCATTTACCAATATTTTTTAGACTTCAGTGTTTTTGAAGATACTAACTACATAGAAAATGAATAAGATAAGATTCTGCTTTCAGGGAGCATTTAATCATATTATTAATATTTAATATTTGAGGATGGCCTTTAGCAGAACTGAGAGCCAAGTGGAGTGTCTACCTTCTTTTCCATTCTTTACATTTTCTTTGCAATTCTATTCTTCTCTTTTCTGAAGTTCATAGAGGCTTTAAGCTGTCCTCCTCTCTCCAGACAGCAAGGAAAATAGCTAAGAGGCCAAATTTTCAGAAGGATACTGATGTCTTTTAACAAGTTAATGTAATATTCTGTACAGCAATCTAGCTCACTTGATATAGAAGCCAATAATTTACTTTCAAGTACTTAGTTCCAAAAATCCCTGAAGATTCTTTTTAAAGCAGGAGCTGTAATCTCCATTGGGTTTTAATCAATATTAAAAACTAGTAATATTCATAGCAATAAAGCTATTGCTCGCTAAGCCATCACTGTGACTCCAGCACTATATGGGGTCATTTTCGTGCATAATTTCAATCAATTCCCATAGCAATCTTATAAAATAGGTATTAATTCCCCCATTTTTCAGACGTGAACACTGAGACTTAGACAAAGTAAATCAGAGGCCAAAGTTACATATGCCATGAGAGGTAGGCAGGATTCAAGGCAAGTGTATCTGACTCCAGACTCCACTCTGCTACAAGGTTCTCCTACTTTGTGGCATCAGGGTTGGGTGGTTTCTCCAGGTTTCCAGGCTGTGGAATAATTTTACTTATTTTAGCTAACATAGCAGAAACCTCTCACTTAAAGATTAAGAAGATACATGGAGAAGTGGGCAAGATGCTATCGTGGGGAGGTATATGAGCTACTTCAAAAGGCAAATTCTTTGCCTCGGTTAATATCTGAAGCATTTTTTTCAATATTTTCTTCTAGAATCCATATGGTTTTATGCTTTACATGTAAGTCCTTTATCCATCTTGAGTTAATTCTTGTGAGTGGTGAGAGATATGGATCCCGTTTCATTCCTCTGCATGTGGCTATCCAATTTTCCCAGCACCATTTATTGAATAGGGCTTCCTTTCCCCAGTGTATATTGTTGTCTGCTTTGTCAGAGATCAGTTGGCTATATGTGGATGGTTTATATCTGTGTTCTCTGTTCTATTCCATTGGTCCATGTCTCTATATTTATGTCAGTACCATGCTGTTTTAGTTCCTATAGATTTTTAGTGTAGTTTGAAATCTGGTAATGTGATGCCTTGAGATTTGCTATTTTTAATTATGATTGTTTTTGCTATTCAGGCTCTTTTCTGGTTCCAAATGAAATGTAGTATTATTTTTTCTAGGTCTGTGAAGTATGATGTTGGTATTTTGATGGGGATTGCATTGAATCTGTAAATCACTTTGGGTAGTCTGGACATTTTAACAACATTGATTCTACCAATCCATGAATATATGTTTTTCCATTTGTTTGGGTCATCTTGAATTCTTTCTTCAGTGTTTCATAGTTCTCTTTGCAGAGATCTTTCACCACCTTTGTTAAGTATATTCTTAAGTATTTTATTTTCTTTGTAGCTATTGTGAATTGTATTAAGTCTTTAATTTGACCATAGCTTGACTGTTATTGATGTGTAGGAATGCTACTGATTTATGTACATTGATTTTATAACCTGAGACTTTGCTGAATTTATTTATCAATTCCAGGAGTCTCTTGGTGCGATCGTTGTGGTTTTCTAGGTATAAGGTCATATAGTCAGCAGAAAGTAATATTTTGACCTCCCCTTCCTGATTTGGATACCCTTTATTTCTCTCTTGCCTGATTGCTCTGGCTAGGACTTCCAGCACTATGTTGAATAGAAGTGACAGCGGGCACCCTTGTCTGGTTCCAGTTCTTAGTGGGAATGCTTTCAACTTTTCCCCATTCAGTATGATGTTGCCTGTGGGTTTGTCATATATGGTTTTTATAATCTTGAGATATGTACCCTCTATGCCTTAATTGTTGATGGTTTTTATCATGAAAATGTGCTGGATTTTGTCAAATGCTTTTTATACATCTACTGAGATGATCATATGGTCTTTGTTTTTGCTTCTGTTTTTGTGGTGAATCATTTTTATTGATTTACATGTTTTGAATTATCCTTGCACCCCTGGGATGAAGCCCACTTGGTCATGGTGGATTATTTTTTTTGGATGTGCTGTTGAATTCAGTTTGCTAGTATTTTATTGAGGATTTTTGCATCTATATTCATAAGGGATATTGGTTTGTTGTTTTCCTTTTATATTGTGTCCTTTCCTGGCTTGGGTATCAAGGTAATACTGGCTTCATAGAATAAGTTGGAGAGGATTCCCTCCTTCTCAATGTTATTAATATTCAATAATTGCTGCAGTGTGGGTACCAACTCTTCTTTGTAGGTCTGGTAAAATTCAGTTGTGAATCCATCTGGTCTGTCATCTTCTAAATACACGTCTCAAGGAACTAGAAAAGGAAGAGCAAACCAAACCCAAAGGCAGCAAAAGAAAAGAAATAACTAAGGTCAGAGCAGAACTAAATGAAATGGAAAAAAAATACAAAGGATCAATGAAACAAAAAGTTGGTTCTTTAAAAAGATAAACAAAATTGATAGCCCTTTTGCTAGATTAACCAGGAATGGAAGAGAAAGGACTCAAATAAACTCAATCAGAAATGACAAAGGAGATATTACAACTGACATCACAGAAATATAGAATATCATCTCCACATACTATGAAAATCTCTAAGCACACAAATTAGAAAACACAGAGAAAATAGAAAAATTCCTTGACACAAAAGCTCCTAAGACTCAATCAGGAAGAAGTAGAACTCCTGAACAGACCAATAACAAGCAATGAGACTGAACCACTAATAAAACATCTTCCTACATTATTAAATTTTAGTGTGGTAGTTTACAGCAAGGGCTTTGCTATTATAGAAACCAATTTAAGTCCTAGTTAAACCACTTACTAGATTTTTTAGTGCCTTTGGAGAAATTGCTTAATCCTTCTAAACTCACTTTCCTTATCCATAAAATGGGAATAATAATAAATCCTAATGTCATAGGGTGTTTTGATGATTATATGAGATGATTCTCACAAGGATTTCCTACATTGCCTGGCCAATGGGAGGTGCCCAGTAAATATTAGCTAGGTAGACTCTTGTGGGGTGGGGAGGCGTGTGATTAGGGAGGGTGTGTCACGCAAGCTGCCTGTAACAGTTCTGCATGCAGTGCGTGACCCAGCGGCCTACCACCTTAGGGAGTTGGAAAAGCAGTTGGGATCATAGCAACCTTTCACGAGAGCCCTAGAGGATTGTGCTCAGGGAAAAGACCAAGGCAATTAGGAACATCGGGGCAACAGAATAGGCCCATTACTAGGGTGCGGTCGAGTACATCTAGGGCATTTGTTAGGCCACCTTTGTTTTATTGTTTACAGAGTTTCCTAGCAGGCATCTTATGGTTTAGAATGATAATCCCAGCTCCAACCTCCCCAAAAGAACTTCACTAATTTATTTGTGTTTAATCAATCCAAATGATGTCATTATGGGAATTCCTTTCCTACCCAAATATTGACCCATATAAAGATTGTATTACTCGCACTCACAACACGGGAAATAAGGCATGGCATGGTGGGTGATGCTCACAGCCAACACTGATGAAAGCCTCAGAGGTTCTGATTTCTGGTGCTACTGTCTTTTCTCTAGTGTCTTTCCCTTACCCTCTGCTCCTCTCTAAAGTTTTGGGATGCTCTCACAGGCCTGAGGTCACCTTTAAATCTTGCCTCAACCCCATGCCCATGGGCCCTGGCTGGTGAGAAACTAGACTTAGGTACAGTAGATGTAGCCAGCCTTATATACACAGAGAGAACACTTCAGAGAGAACTGGCAGAAAATTATCTAGGCCAGGGGTCTGTAAAAGACCAGATGGTAAACATTTTCAGATTGACCGGTCATATAAGCTCAGTTTCAACTACTCAACTCTTGCCAGTGTAGTTTCCATGCAGCCATATATAATATGTAAATGAATGGGTATGGCCATGTTCCAATAAAACTTTATTTATAAAAATAGGCAGTGGGTCATATTTGGCTTGGAGGCCAGAGTTTGCTGACCCTGATTTAGTACATTCTCCTCATTTTGTCTACAGAGACTAAACAAAGACTAAAATCTAACAACTTGGTAGAAGCATTAGGATCCTGTTTACAATGTGTAATATAATAATTTGCTAGTTACAGCCAGAGCCCCATAGGTTGATTATAATTGTCACCTGCAGCAGGCATTGACAAAGATTGCTCTTACTGTAAATTCAAGGCATGTGATATTCACAAATTCAGGTGAAAGCCAAGCACATTAGCCTCTCCTGAGAGGCACTGATGGGTTTAGCAAAGACAGATGTTGATGAAAACAAAACTATGCTTAGACTTGACAAGAGAAGTATAAACAGGGTACTTATTAGCAAATATGCTATTTTTTATCCCTTGTGAGGCTGATAGCTCCTACTAGGTTTCAAGTTTGACATACACAGCATTTTATGAAATGCCTGGATATATTAAATATCCTCTTATAGCACAATGCCTAATATAAATGTATAGGAATTAAAGTAGAATTACGCTCCCAGTCCTGATGTCATGATAAAGTTGGTTTGTGTGGGGACTGATACGTGTCTTTACTTTAAGAGTCAGTGGTGGCTTGTGGTCTTGCTAATAAGGCTCAGGGTGGACAAACCATTTTTAGACCTTGCCTTATAAAATCAGCTGCGACACTTTTAAGTATCTGCTACAGGTCATTAAATGCATCCTCTGCGTGAGAGGCTGATGTCAGTGGCCCTCCCTGAGGTTGCGCAGGGGCCGCCATGATGAATCTGGGGAGGGCAGGTGCTCCTTGCTGCTGCCTTGCTACTTAGGAGTCCCCTCTTCTGATACCTCTGTCGCTGCTGCTGACATCCATGAATAGCAACAGATGAGTCAAGTAGCCTTCTAACTCGGGATGAACCAGATGTCGGTTTATTAATGTGTTCTATGGCTGACAGCAGCAGGCGCTTCCCTGGACAGCGCCTGGGACCTGCTGGGCTCTGGCTCCCGATCTCAGCACTTAGGGTTAGCGTGACTGCTTAGGGTGCCTGAGCTGTGAGTTCTGCTCCCCAGTAGCAGGAGGAAGACATAGCTGTATGGGAGGTCTGTGAGGGAGATCAGACACACCAGATGCTTATTAAAGGATTCACAGTTCATTTCCTGCAGTCCACTATTCTGTCTGAGGAAGAAGATGGAAGGCTTTTGGCCTGAGATGTGCATGCACTTGGGATTTCTAAGAGTGAATATGTCAGGTTTTGGCATTTGTGGGCTTTCAGACATATTCTTACAAAGTGAAGTGAGCTGTCACACAGAGCAAACTGAGAAGGGCTCTGCATGCTAGGAGTGATGTTAACCCTCTGTTATTCTCTTTTTGTTCCCTAAATGTCATGGAACGTGTACATCCAAGTCACCATCCCGAGCTTTCAGGTGGCTGTGTCTGTCCAGCCCCACTCTGCGCACCACTCGAGGATGCAAGTGGCCTCAGCATTTCCGTCCTCAGCCTGTCCAGGGCAGGATCACCCTCGCTGGACTCCACCTGGGGTTGGCATGGGGCAGCACCAACAGGCCCCAGCCAGGGCTCTGCTCACAGCTGGCTTCCGCTGCAGAGTGACACGGGCTGAAACCCAGCTGTGCTCGCACAGACTGTGTCCTCCTCTCTGCAGTGACGACAGCAGGCTGGCGAGAGCCTGATGTTGTCATAAAATCACTAAATTTGAAGTCAGGATGCTCTGATTACAGTCCTTTTTTTTTTTCAAAAGCCTGTAAAATTTCAGGCAAGCCTCTGGACCTTTCTGAGCCTCAGGTTTCTCGTTTATAAATGAGAGGCTTCGGTGAGATAAGTGTTCTCAAAACGTTAGGCATTCATGTTTTATTGCTGCATTTTTATGCAATCTGTATCAGTATTTTCTGAATAATCTTATTTAAATTGAATGGCTTTTCCAGTGCAAAGTTATTTTAGCCTTATCTGAGATGAAAATGTCAATAAAATCATGGGTTTGATGTTATAGTTAATTATTTCAATACAGGTTAGGACAATAATATTTTATAAAAACAAAGGATAGCATAGAGCTGTTCCACGCCTTCCCCAGCCGTCGCACGCCGTGTGCCAGGAGCACGTAGGTAGGCTTGTCCTGTGCCTTGCGAGGCCCAGGCTGGCTGCCCTTGCAAGTTGCCTCCGGCTCTCACATCTAGGAATGGGAAAGTGAAGGGCACTCGGGACCCTAGCAGTCCCTGGCGACACAACTTGAAAGGAATACATGAAATAACTTTCTTCCATTCCCTGCGGCAACTCTGCTTTTTCCCCCCATTTATGGGCATGAGATGGTGGTCTGTGGGGAAAGTGGTGGGTTGAACGGAGGAAGATCCATCCTGGGAAGCAGCTGTCACCTCCCATTGCGAGCCTCTGGCTGGTCCTGTGGAGTTTGGTCTCTGTGCACCCTCCACGTGGCCCTCTGGGGCTCTCTGCAGGTGCCCTGGCTTTGCTGACCTGCGGGCAGCCCGCCCTGTGCCTCAGTGTCTCCAGGGAGTCTGGACACACCCCCAACCTCTGCCAGCAGGAAGTGCTCCAGGGGCCTCTTAGGGGTGGACTCGTAGAAGCAGCCCCAAGACCATGGGAGGGAACAAACCGTGAAGAACTCTGGCCTCCAGCTCTGGGGGATTTGGGAAAAAGACATCTCCCAGAGAACGTGGAGTACAAGGGGATGTTTATCCTGCTGCCTAAAACGGCTGGGGTGACACAGAGGCAGAGTGATTCCCGGCAAGCCCAGGCATTTCTGTGTTTCTTTCCATGGGCGTGATTGCTGTTGTTGCCGTGTGCCCTGTTCCCGGGACAGCAGCTACACCTTATGGGGGAAGATCTGCTTTCGAAGGAAAACCCCTGATAGGTTGGTGGGCTCTGTCGTGCTGGGTAGAGGTGCCGGGCTCTGCAGGGGCCTCCCCCCTTCCAGGTGGCCTCACTGGTTCTCAGGACAGCGTCAGTTCTCAGGACGCCCCAGCCCCTGCTGTCAGGAGCAACACGCTCCTCTCCGAGGCCCTGGAGACTTCTTCCGGTTTCCTGCTTCCTTCTGCTTTCTGAGCCCCTCTGGCATCTGCCCTTTGAAAGCTCCTTTGGCTCTTTGATCAGACGATTCTGATGTTCATTTTCACCTGATTTCATCTAATGAAAAAAAGTGAGAGTGAGAAGTGGGCCATGTAACTATTCCTCTGTGATACTGTAAGTGCATTCAAAGGCATGGGTTTGCATCCAGAAATGTTCACCAGCATCTATGTTAGATGCCGCTTTACCTACCTAATTATTCCAGGTCACTAGGGTTGCAGAGAAAGAACAGTCAAAAGGAAAAAGACTGTTAAGTCATTTCACTTGAGAATCTTCTGCACAAACACAGCATTCTCATTTTGGGGTGACAGATCTCAACATTCCTATCTGTTCTTATACCCCAGATCCTGCTTTCTATGCCCCTGTCTCATGTCCCTGTTCCCAGCATGGCCGTGGGATTCTTTTCTCATGCCCTCCCTTTCACTAAGCTCTGCTCATTTTATTTTCCAAATGTCTCTAAATCTCTCCTTTCTTCCCTCTCCACTAGCCCTGCTGGTGCAGGGCCCTCGGCTCTCGCTGCTGACGCAGGGTTTCCACCCGGTCACTCTTGTCCTCTGACTTCTCCTCCTCAGAACGGCCCTCTCACCATCACCAGGCTAACTCCCAAGGTGTTAGGCCTTTCACGCCTGACCCCCTCACCTTCCGCTCTGAGTTCAAGCTGCCCCTCCGTCCTGTCCCTCCTCTGTGTTTAGCACTTTTGCGATTTTACTAACGCTGGCCTTTTGGCTTAAAATGTCTTTCCTCTCCTCTGAGTGGGATCACTTCTTCCTACTCTCCTAAAAATTCAGCTTTGTCCCCTGACTCCCTCTGAGACATTTTTCCTGCCCGCCCGGGCTGCACATCCACTTTGCCCCCATCTGCGCATGCCCATCTACCCCAGTGCGCCCCCATGCCTGAGGGTCGGCTCCGCTGTGTCCTCGCAGAGGGCTGGGCCTTTCACTGGGAGGCCAAGAGGACTTCGGGAATGAAGGGACAACCCTATGGGGAAGGGTGAGCACGTCAGACAAATGGAAAGTTGAGGCTCAGAGAGGTTGTGTGGTCAGTGGCCTGGGAGCCAGGTGCACTGGCTTTGTACACGGTGCACTGTACACTGGTGCACTGTACACAGATGCACTGGTGCACTGACTGGTGCACTGGTGCACTGTACACTGATGCACGGGTGCACTGACTGGCGCACTGTACACTGGTGCACTGTACACAGATGCACTGGTGCACTAACTGGTGCACTGGTGTACTGACTGGTGCACTGTACACAGATGCACTGGTGCATTGACTGGTGTACTGGTGCACTGTACACTGATGCACTGGTGCACTGACTGGTGCACTGTACACAGATGCACTGGTGCACTGACTGGTGCACTGGTGCACTGTACACAGAGGCACTGGTGCACTGACTGGTGCACTGGTGCACTGTACACTGATGCACTGGTGCACTGTACACTGATGCACTGGTGCACTGACTGGTGCACTGGTGCACGGGTACTAACGGTGAACTGTACACTGGTGCACTGGTGTATCTGACTGGTGCACTGAAATTGGCACGTGCACTACCGTGCACCGTACACGGGCACTGGTGCACTGACTGTCACTGTACACTGGTGCACTGTGTACAACTGGGCACGTATCACGGTGGCACTGGTGTACTGACTGGTGCACTGACACGGGTGACTAACCTGTTGCACTGTACACTGGTGCACTGTTAATTGACCTGGGCATTGTACACTGGGTGTAACCTAACTGTTGTACGACACGGTGCCTGGTGCACTGACTGCACTGTGCACGGTGCACTGACCTGGTCACTGAACACCTGGTGCACTGACTGGTCACTACACTGGGCACTGGAACTGTGCACCTGTAACTGGTGCACCTGGTCACTGACTGGTGCACTGTACACTGGCACGGTGTACGACCTGGCACTGTACACTGTGCCTGGTGTACTGACTGGTGCACTGTACACTGTGCACTTTGGGTATGACTGGGCACTTACAGTGCACTGCTGGTGCACTGTAACACTGTGCACTGGTCACTGACTGGGCACTGTACACGTGCACTGGTACTACTGGTGCACGTACACTGGTGCCACCTGTTAACTGACTGATGCACTGTACACGTGGCCACTGGTGTACTGACTGTCCACGTCACTGTTGCCACTGGTGTACTGACTGGCACTTACACTGGTGGCACTGGTGGTACTGACTGTGCACGTAACACTGGTGCCGTGTACTGGACTGTGGCACTGGGGGGTACAGCTGGTGCACGACGGGCACTGTACCACGTGCACTGGCACGACTGGGTGGCACTGACACTGTGCACGGTGTACTAGACTGTCCAACTGTACCACTGGGCACTGGGTACTACTTGTTGCACTGACACGGGGTCACTGGTGTACTGACTGTTCACGTACACTGGTGCACCTGGTGTAACTGACTGGCCACTGTACACTGTGCACTGACTGGTGCAACTGTACACTGGTGCACTGGTGCACTGACTGGTGCACTGTACACTGGTGCACTGGTGTACTGACTGGTGCACTGTACACTGGTGCACTGTACACTGGTGCACTGGTGTACTGACTGGTGCACTGTACACTGGTGCACCGACTGATGCCAGTCGGTGCACTGGCTCAGGTGCACTGGCTCTGCATCAGGGCACTTTCCTCTGTATTGTTATGCACGTGCTCTGTTGTTTGATGGAATATTCTATTCGGGTCTCCTCTCTTGTTGTTGCTCCCTTTCTCCACTAAACCCTCACCTGCTTCCTCCCTTCACTTATTCATGAAACAGGATCCTCAGGGAAGACTGTCATACACACCAGAAGTGGCTGGGTCACAAGATCATTTTTCTCTGTCTGTCTCTCTCCTGCTGTGTGTATATATGTGCATGTATAAATATAATTTTTTAATTGATAATGAGCAAAATCACCGTGAAAGTTTTTCGGAGTAAGAACTCCAGTTTCAAGTGTTCTGAGCTGTGGTCTGAGGACGGGAGAGACCATGTATGCAATGAAGCGAGCCCCTCCCTGCGCCCGGAGCCTGGCCGTCCCTGACCCAGCCTCCTGGGCAAAGCCCACAGCTTCCTGTTCTTCCTGTCTCCTGTCCTCATGGCCTGCTTTCACACTTCTGCTGCAGTGTCACGATACCTGTATGGCCCCATCATTTGTGAGGTGTGGCAGGGACCTTTGATACAAATCATAAGGAAAGTGCTGGAAATTGTGACTGGTTGCATTTTCTCATTAGAGGGGCGTCAAAGTTACAGATGACCTATAGTAAGTTAATTCTCACTCAACTTGCATTCTGATATGCTTTCTTGATGGAGAGAGAGAGAAAAAAAATGGAGTGGTGGCTGGCGCCAGGCGTACGCTGCCCAGCTTGTGGCGCTCATTGTCACAGGGCGGCGGCAGAGGGGACTGGGCAACTGTGGGTCCTGACTGTGTGGTCCTCCTGTTCAGCCAAGTTTAAGTCCCCCAGTTATAGAATGGTGTTAACAAGAACTTCTCTGTCCTACCTGCAGTCACTCTGCAGAAACAGAGATATAAATGTGAATATAAATATATACATAAATAAAAACAAAAACCAGCACTTTAGTTTCTAAGAGAAGGGACTTTGTTTTGCACCATTCCCTTGACAGCACAGCACTTGCTATAATTGAAATCACACAGTAAGAATGTGGCGGCCAACTGTGGCCTCTGGCGATGAGCCTCTACTCACGCAGACCTCTGTGCAGTGGAGCAGGAGCGCCCAGACCCCGTGCAGGTCAGTTAATTTTACTAGAAAAAACACTTCTGTCATTTCAAGTGAGCCTGCGGCCATCTTACGGATGCTTGCTGATGGCACCGGAAGGCTCGAGCTCGAGAGAGGCTGGGTGAAGACAAGACTTCCAGACGCATCCTCAGGACGAAGGTTTGTCGCAGGCACCTCCCTCTCCAGTGCCCTGCTGGGCGAAGACTCTAGCGGGAGGCCCTAACTTTTCTCTCTGCACCAAGGGAGCCCGGCCGCGGGCGGGGGGCGGCGGGGAAGAAGGAAGCTGGGCCGGCGGAGGAAGGCGGCCGCGGGAAGAAGGAAGCTGGCCGGCGGAGGAAGGCGGGCCGGCAGGGAAGAAGGAAGCTGGGCCGCGGGGAAGAAGGAAGCTGGGCCGCGGGGAAGAAGGAAGCTGGGCCGGCGGGGAAGAAGGAAGCTGGGCCGCGGGGAAGAAGGAAGCTGGGCCGGCGGGGAAGAAGGAAGCTGGGCCGGCGGGGAAGAAGGAAGCTGGGCCGGCGGAGGAAGGCGGGCCGGCGGAGGAAGCTGGGCCGGCAGGGAAGAAGGAAGCTGGGCCGCGGGGAAGAAGGAAGCTGGGCCGGGAGAGCTGGCCGGGGAAGAAGAAGCTGGGCCGGCGGAAGGAAGGGGCCGGCAAGCTGGCCAGGGAGAGAGCTGGGCGGCAGGGGAAGAAGGACAGCTGGGCGCGGGGAAGAAGAAGCTGGGCCGGGGAAGGAAGAAGCTGGCCGGCGAGAAGCTGGCCGGCGGAGGAAGCTGGGCCGGCAGGGAAGAAGGAAGCTGGGCCGGCGGAGGAAGGCGGGCCGGCGGGGAAGAAGGAAGCTGGGCAGGCGGAGGAAGCTGGGCCGGCGGTTAGAAGGAAGCTGGGCCGGCGGGGAAGAAGGAAGCTGGGCGGGCGGAGTTAGGCCTCCAGCGCGCGCTGGCACGCGGGATCTGCTGCGGCTGCGTGGGCGCAGCGGTGCTGCTGCGCCCCTGCCGCCCACGCTGGGCTGAGCGAGGCGCTGGGGGCGTGCGGTCTGCCTGCGGGTGTGTCAGGGCTCTGATGTTGGGGAGCGGCAGACGTAGGGACGAAGGGCCGACTAAGAGATGCGCGCACCCGCACCCGAGCTGGCGGAGCGGCCCAGAGACCGGAGCCGTCCGAGGAGGGCGCGGCGGGCCGGACTCGCGCGGGGGCTTCAGGGCCGGGCAGGGCCGGGCAGGGCCGGGCAGGGGGGGAGGGCGCCCGAGGAGGCCTGGCGAAGGCTCGGAGGTAGGCACAGCCACGCCCTGCACCCCGTCCCTGCTCGCTCTCTCCTCTCCCTTACGACACAGCTGAATGTTGAGTAGAAGAAATAAATCCCAGCTATTAAACGTAGAAATATGACACTCTGTGAACACTACACTACGAATTGATTTGTAATGGTGTTGCGGGTTGCCCAGGAACGGCCCCAAGGGGTCAGGGAGACGGGCCCAGGACGAGGCAGCCGTCCGGGCGGCGAGGTGGCCTCGGGAGCCGCAGCCCTGACTGCGTGTAGCACGGAAGTGCCCCTGCTGGCCTGTGGATTCACTCTGCAGGGTCGAGCCACTGACTGGTAAATCACAATCTGACACACAATGGCAGCGCCGAGCCTTTTGTCACTTTCTGGGGGGTGGGGGGTTGGGGCTGGGGCTCGGCAGCCCGCGTCCCTTTGCTCTGGCCTATCTTTGGCTCGCGAGCACTGGGCGCCCAAGGTCCTAGTGTAAGTGGCCGGCGGCTGGCCGGGAACGCGGCGAGCCATGGTCAGCTCGTGAAGACATCAAGCATGCACGGCGAGCTCTCTGCCTGTCTTTGTGACAAACCCCTTTTCCTCCCTCCAGAAAAAGTCAAACATGAGTCAGGAAGGCTGGGAAACCAGAGGAACCAAGCCAACAGCACTGGCTATGGGATGGCCATGGGCTATGGGATGGCCATGGGCTATGGGAGGAGGCAGAGTGGGGCAGCTAGGTGATTTTGTGGGGTTTTTTTGTTTTGTTTTTGGTTTGTTTTTTAAAATTAATGATGGGAAGGATCTGAAGACTTGTACAACAGCTTTGCCAGCAAAAAACATAATTAGCTGAAGACAATATGCTGCTGATGCTGGAGCTGCTGGTTTAATGAACGAAACCTGCCATAATGAGAGTGTCAGTACCTCACTCAGAGATTGCTTTCACAGACCAGCCTCTTCTCCAGGGTTGTGCTCGATTAGTTCCAGAGAAATGTAATAATTTGTTAAGAGGCAGGAATAAGAGCCATGGCACTCAGTGCATGGCCCAAGAGAAGATTCTTCTGACCGCCAGTCTTCTCCCTCTGCTCTCTGATGCCAGGCGAAGCCGGCTGGCGAGGAGTGGGGGGCTTGGAAGGGATCTTGGCATAGGATGCTCTAATCGTGTTCACACGCCAGCATCTCCTCTCAGTCCTTAATTTCCTCGCCTGTTCCCTTTGCTGCAATTCTTCAGCTCCGATGTGCATCTTCCTTGCCAAGACTGAGTCACCGCTGGAGAGTTAGGAGGAATGTGGCCATGGGCGCTCATTGTTCTCTCCAGGGCTTGCATTTGAATTTTGGGCTTGTGATTCAATGTGGACTGTTGTGGGTCAAATCCCTTACAAGTTGGAGGAGTTTTATGAGCACAAAGCAAAGTAGACAAGTTTTGTTAACCTTTGCATTTGATCAACATTGAATGACTTGCACCCATTGTCACCCTTTGGGTTCTTATACAAAATATGACCTGCAGGCTTTCTCTTATCTTCTCCAAATCTATTGGCCAGCACAGGTTTTTTTCTTTTTATTGGGGGGGGGGCAGGATCAGTGACCTGACTATTATGCATTTCTCCCCAGCCTGTCATATATGTGTGCTGTTCTGTTGTGGAGAACATGCACTCTTCCTCTTAGGTCTCCCCTCCCAGAGCAAGGCTTACGGAGGGCAGCGAGACCCGAGTCTGTGTACACGTGTGTCAGACTCTTCTCAGGGACACGGCTGAGCACCTGTGTCCTGAAACTCTGAAGACAGTTGGTTTCACTTTAGACAACATCTGCCCAAGAACAGGTATCTCCATAGGTGTCCCCCGCTGCACCAAAATGACAGCCTGACAGGTATGGCCGTCTATGGCCATACGGGTTAAATTATTGTTTTGAAGCTTTGCATTTGGCCAACCTAATGATCAAGCTTACCTGAAGGAGACTGGGGGAATCTGGGAAAGGCAGCATAGACAGTACTAAGTGCAGGCATTCGGGGATCCTCACTTGTATAACCCATGAGTTAGGTGTAAGAACAAAGGAGTCCAAAGTTTACTTAGAGAAAATGGAAAGTTGGGTGGTTATGGCTCAGGCCACAGTGGGGGACTCTTTTCTTCATGACAAGGTCATAAAGCAGTATCAGTTTGGCCTCAGACTACTGTGTAAACTTGCGAAAATTACTTAAGTTACTCTGATCTTCTGTTTCCTCATTGAAAAATGGAAATAGTAATTTCTACTACTTATATTTATCGGTAGGATTAAATGAAATAATATAATTCACTAGGTGCTATGTCTGGCACATGGTAAGCATTTAACAAACAGTACTTATTGTTAGTATTCCTTCTCCATTGTATCAATACTATAGGATCAAGGCAGCATAGGACTAGGATAACAAAATACAGAGGAATTAAGCATATGTAATGGGATTGCTATAGAAAGCTAGAGCTGCTTAATCCTTTCATAGTGGTTCATGGGCTTTGAAATCTTCACAAAACTAACCACTAGCTATGTGGTCTTCACCTCTGCCACTATAAGGACTGTGCCATTGGAAGTTTTACTGTAAAAGAGGACCTGGGCAGGGTCCCTGAGTACTTGGCTAGAGCCTGGCTCAACAGACCTCGTGCAGATCAAGCTGTACCTCTGTGTGTGAGGCACGACTGTGAGCCAAGCACAGCCATGTGAAAGGCCTTCCACCCATACCCCGGCCAGCAGCCCTCTCTGAACGGTGCAGACTTTAGGGCCCACCTCCGTTTTTGGCTGGGGAGGAAACAGATCTCGATCTTTACTGGTTCAGGCAGTGCTACTGATGGGTATGTGCCAGATTCAGAGAAACCTTGACACCTCGACTCTCCCTCCCCTTCTCTTCCCAGCTCCGTAGCAGGCTGTTTTATCTGAAGTGATTGGAACCCCCACATGCGCCTTGCATTAGCTTTGCCCTCAGAGATGACTGGTTTTTAATATTGCGGATGTTTATTTCTCAGCCCCAGGTGTTCCCCGTGGAGCTCTTAGCTCCCTGAGACCTCCTTTCCTCCCCTTGACCGGCTGCCTGACTTTTGAGGAAATGAGAGAGAGAGGGCTCAATAACTTCAGTACGATCAGAGGGAAAGAGGGGTGAAGTCTAATGGTCATTAGTATATACTGTGCCCACTGCCTCCGTTGTTACTTATTCAATAATTCCCTTAATGTTTGGTCCTAATGGAACAAATTATTGTTACTATTTCATTTCATCACGATCACCTACTGCATAAAAACAAAGAGGAAAAGAAGAAAGAAACGTGGCCAAGAATAGGCATTGAGCATTATCCAGCTGGCGATATTTATTTGTTGGCTTCATGCTTGGCTTGTGAAGTTTTGAAGGACTGGTGCAATAGCTCATGGAGGGAGCCTGACTCACACAGCTCTGCCCAAGGGTTGCTGAGACAGCGACCTGGAGTGCTTTTGCTTCTGTGTGGACCCTTTTGTCTCTCAGCCTGCCTGTCATGCATAATATACACGTTTGTGCACATGTGTGCACACGGAACTCCCACACATGGGTTATAGGAGGGCCGGCCTCTTAACACGTGGCACTCACTGGGGCACATCCGCCATTTCTGACGAGGCACTACCATCTCGCAGGAGACTGTCCCGTCTACACCCAGAGGGACGGGAGGACCCCGGCTCTGCCCCGGTGGCCTCACCCCTCACTGCTCTCCCACACTGCAGAGATGTGGGCCGGTCTTTGGAGTTAGGGGATCCATGGGCTGGCAGCCAAGCCCATGGCAAGTGGCTCCTCTGTCACCTGCTTCACCCAGCTCCGCCTGGCCTTGGCATGCTCAGTGAGGCAAACAACAGGTAACCCAAGCCGCTCATGATCAGAGAGCCTGAGCGGCCAATGGACATATGTGCTCCTTTGCTTTTGCTTTGGGACAGCAAAGTCAAGGGTCTGAGGCAGGAAAAATCTCAAGACCCAAAAAAGCAGATCTATAAAAAGATCCAAAGGAGGACGACTGGAAATAGCCCGGCTGACTCCAGCACACTGGCCTCCAGCCTGTCCCTGTAGGGCTCCGGGCTCATT